CCCAGCCTAAGGAATGGTGTTGCCTTCAATGGGCTGGGCCTTTCTACATCGGTTAACAATCCAGACAATCCCTCACAGACATGCTCCCCCAGGCAATTTGATCTATTTTTTGAGTGCTCCATATCCACGTATGGCTGATGGCTACTCTATGGACGACACAGCTATACATCTTAATGCCAGTCTTCTGCTCTATGTTTCTCTTTCCAAGATGTACCCACTATCCAACATCTTTATAAGCTTCAATGTCAGGTTTATCATAAGCGAGCAAAATACAAGCTTCCTCTCCTCCCTACACTTTAAACTTGTTTCTCCACACACTTCTTCTATTCTCTGCCTTTAAATCTGCTTTCCTGAAAGCCTGTTGTAGCTTAGCAAATGGCACCAACAATGGTCTACATCAAGATTCAATTCCTGTTTCTTACAAATTCAGTATTCCTCCAGAAGATCCTGTTCCTGATTATGCCTTCTGGACAGATCTATGTCTGATCACATCCCAGCACCACATTACTCAAAGGAACCATGATCTTTTGCCTTGACTCATGGGAATGACTTTTTCCATGATCTTGATGTCTCAACTCTTGCTGCTCTGTCTTTTTTCTCCTCTCACAGTAGCAAGAAAGATCTTTAAAATATAGTAACAAATTGGGAATCATCTCTATGCTTAGAATGCTCTGAATGCTTTTTATTTAAAAAAGAATCAATACAAAAAATGCCAATTTGACCTGAAGGCCTGTGCGGTTCAATTCCTTGCTTCTTTTTCTGATAGCTGCCACCCCCATCTTTGTTCATTTGTTACAGCCCCTGTTGTTTAAGCATGGAAAGTTAGCTTCCTTCTGTCTGAACCACTCTTCCCAGGATGGACACCCCATTCTCATAATTTAGGCCTCAACTCAGATATTCTCCCCTTTTAAAAATTAAAAAAAATATTTAAATTTTTTATGTGTGTGAGTGTATTGTCTGCATATATTTAAGTGCACCCATGTTGTGCAATGCCTGTGGATGTCGCATGAGGGCATCAGCTCCCCTGGAATTGGAGTTTATGGACAGTTGTTAGCAGCTATGTGGGTGCTGGGAATTGAACCCAGATCCTCTGCAAGAGCAGCCAGTGCTCTAACCGCTGAGCCTCTGTCACCTCCCCTGAAGTCACTCACTATCATATTTACTCTCTTGTGACTTGTTCATTGTATTTGTCAATACCCAAACTCATCTTACTGGCTTACATACAGTCTTGGCTAGTCTCCACGTGCTGTTCCACCTGTTTTTAGTCTCTAGAACTAAAGTGCACAGTAAGCACTTATAGAAGAGTCCCACTTCCCTCTCGTTTAGTTACATGACCTTGAGTAAGTTAAACTCTCTGTGTCACAGTTCCTTCATCTACAAAATGGGGCACTCACACAGAGGGTGAAGTGTGGCATACTTGGGACAGGTCCGGTTCAATAATAAGTACTTGCTGCTTTTAATATCAAATTTTGCAATATTGAACATAGACTACATTTCATTAAATGGCATCTTCCTTTTGAATGTTTCTAATAAGGACATCTAAAAGGAAATGGATCAGAAAGAGTGTGGATGCTTCAGGAAATCCTTCGACCCTGGCGAGAACATTGGAAACTACGCACCACCCACCTTTTAAAATCAATGGCAGTTGGAATCAGTCTCAGAAAACAGTTCAAAGTGTCATCTCTTGCCCATTGACAGGGAAAGGGAAGATTTAATTAATTAGTACAGACTTCCCACTGGATTACTGATTAGCACCTTCAAATCTTGGAAGACCCCTAAATGTCTTCCCTCTATAGCCCTTGCCTGTCAGCGACAAGTTCTGATAATTGTCTTCATCCTTTAGATACTTGACAAGGTGAAAGGCCACTTTACAAATGAAGCAGAATTAGCAAAATAAGTAACACCCAAACTCCTGTCACGTTTTCCTAAACCACCAAACACCCATTGCAGTTCAGAACTTCACACATATTGTCAGTTCATCTTTATGGAGTAAGATCTCTCATTTAGTGGAGGAAGCCCAAAGCTTAAAGTATTTAAGGATCAGTCCCAAGGTTCTGGGTCTATCAGTTGCAGAACTGTGATTATTCAGGCAGTCCTTCAACAAATACACATGAATTATCAACTATGTCAAGCACTGGAGATAGCAGCTAACAGGTTAAGAAAGGTGCCTATTCTCTAGGAGTTTGCTTTCTACAGGGATTGATACCCATTTTAGATTCTATCTTCACATAACCTGGAACTTCTCCAAATGGCCACCTACTAGGGGCTGAGGTGGGAAATTACAGAAACACATCAGAACAGTGAGTGGCACGATAAACATTCACTGAACACTAGGTACCAGAACTGACCTGCTCTAATGACAGTTAGAAAGAAGGTAGATGTAACCCCTGTGCTCAAAGCAGTTTCAAACAATGTTGGCAAGCTTAAGTGCACTTAAGTGTTTACCAAGGCCAGGCATGTAGTACAGAGGATCAGACTAGCTACACATGCTCTCCTTTCTTTAGAAGAGTAACTATAGAGAAAGACTCATTATGAATTGACCACAGGACCCTGTAGGCTGGAGATCCAGGTGGAACAAAAGGAAGGGGAAGAAGCAGCCCATGAGTACAGGTGTTCTCTGTTTCCTGGATGCTGTGGTGTGAGCCGCCCCACCATCCCTTCTAATCAAGAAGGTTTGAAGCCTCTGAAACTGTGAGCAAAAATAAATCTTTTCTCCCTTATGTTATTTCACTCAGATCCATTGTCCCAGCCACAGGTACAGAGTGCCAAGCTTTCATTCTTAACTATGGGTTAGCAGGAAAACTAGAGAACTTATTAAAATTCTGCTCTTCCTGTATTTAAACTCTGGAGCCATAACTTAATTAAAAAATGCATATTTTAGTCCAGTGTGGGAGCACATGCCTTTAGTCCTAGCACTCAGGAGGCAGAGGCAGGCAAATTTCTGCAAGATCAGGCTTGCCTAGTCTATATAGTAAGTTCCAGGTCAGCTAGGACTACAGGGAGACCCTGTCTCAAAAACAAACAAACAAACAAACAAACAAACAAAAAAACCAAAAAGACACACTTTAGAGGTGCCTATGAGCCATAAATCATTTTCACACACACCACATTGTTGACATTCAGTTGTACAGTATATTAAAATTCATCTATTTGAAGTGTGAGGAAAGATCAGCTAAACAGGAAGTATCATTTGGTTGGTACCATAAGAAGTTACTGGTATTTTATTTTTTATGATTTATTTATTTATTTAGTTTTATTTTTATGTGTATGAGTGTTTTGCCTGCATGTATGTAAGTGTACTCATGTTGTACAAAGCCTGTGAATGCCAGAAAATGGCATTGGATCCTCTGGAACTGGAGTAATGAGGGTTGTAGCTGCCATGTGGGTGCTAAGAATGGAACCTGAATCCTCTGCAAGAGCAGCCAGTGCTCTTAACCACCAAGTAATCTCTCCAGCCCCCTTTTTATATTTTTTGCATTTATTAATTTTTATGTGTTTGAATGTTTTGCCTATATGTATGTAAGTGTACCATGTTCATATAATGCTCACAGAGGCTGGAAGAGGGCATTGGATCCTCTGGAACTGGAGTTATGGATAGTTGTTAGCTGCCGTATGGGTACTGGGAACCAAACTGAGGTCCTCCGCAAGAGCAGCGGGTGCTCTTAACCACTGAGCCATCTCTCCAGTCCCCTATTTTATTCTTTTTAATTAAAAAATGTGGCAAGAGTATTTAACATGCGTCTATACTCTTAAAAATATTTATTTCTTGGGCTGGAGAGATGGCTTGGCAGTTAAGAACACTGGTTGTTCTTGCAGAAGACCTGGGTTCGAATCCCAGCACCCACATGGCAGCTAACAACTGTCCGTAACTCCAGCTCCAGGAGATCTGATATCCTCTCTGACCTCCGTGGGCATTGCACGACACGGGTGCACTTACCTACATGCAGGCAATACACGAATACACATAACATTTTTTTTTCCAACCCCCCCTCTTTCTTTGCCCCCAGCCCCCCCTTGCTACCCGTGGCCCTTCCTTGTAACCTCCTCCCACATGTCTTTTCCTGTTTCCCGTTCCACGTATTTTCCCATCCTTCATTATCATCTATTTTTACCTTTTTTTGGGTCGCCTTTCTAGTTTTTTAGGCTTCATTCACATTCATGTACACACACACATACACATGTACCCCCCCTCTTTCTTTGCCCCCAGCCCCCCCTTGCTACCCGTGGCCCTTCCTTGTAACCTCCTCCCACATGTCTTTTCCTGTTTCCCGTTCCACGTATTTTCCCATCCTTCATTATCATCTATTTTTACCTTTTTTTGGGTCGCCTTTCTAGTTTTTTAGGCTTCATTCACATTCATGTACACACACACATACACATGTACATATTGCAGGATAGGATCCAAATATGAGAGAGAACATGGGGTTCTTGCCCCGAGTTTGGACTTGCTTAATATTATACTTCCCAGATCCATCCATTTTCCTGAAAATTTCATTTTTCTTTACAGAATACAATTCATTGTGTCAATGTGCCACATTTTCATTGCCCATTCATCTGTTGATGGACAATAGATTATTGTTGGCTATGGGGCTTGTAGGACAGTCAGTCATACCCCAATGGCGGGGCTTTGTGACTAGGTACAGACTACAGGGAGCAGTGTTAGTCACCAGGCCTGGGACTGTCAAGACTTGGATGGTGGTGGTGACCTTGGCTTTTCTACACAAGGATCACAGCTGCCAGGTGACAAGTTACCCAGTAACGTGTACAAGTGTAACCACAATTCCCACTTTTATATTTCTTATTTTCTTTTAAAAAGTTATCTACTTCAGGGGCTGGAGAGATGGCTCAGTGGTTAAGAGCACTGACTGCTCTTGCAGAGGACCTGGGTTTGATTCCCAGCACCCACATGATGGCTACGAACCGTCCTTAACTCCAGTTCCAGGGAAACCCAAAGCCCTCCTCTGACCTCCACGGCCTTGCACGACACGGGTGCACTCACATACATGCAGGCAATACACTCATACGCATAAAATAAAAATAATAAAATATTAAAAAAAGCTATCTACTTCATTTGAGAATCAGGCTAAACACAAACACATGAGGGCCATTCTCTTTGGGAAAAATTCGTAAGTTCCAGAAAGTGCTAAAATTACTGTCCACTATCACCTTGGACCCCGACATCTTAGAAGTCACCTCTGTGTTTCCAGTTTGATGGCTGTGTTTCTATTTTACCATCCTCTTGAATCAGTTTCCCTGATTTCTATTATAATGAGGTTTTAATTTAGTTGCTTCTTATGCCTTCCTTAGTCTGTTCTGAGGACAAGACGTACACAATTCCTCAACCCAAGCTCAGGTGTCTGGATACCTTTTCTCTGCACTCCAGGTGTGTTTTAGAGTGATCAGGAAGAAGGACTGCCATGTTACCCACCTCTCCTCCAGGCCAGATAATCCCTGGCCAACACCCTGAGCCTGCTGGGTACAGTTTTGGAAAGTTGCAGAGTTTACCCTTCTGGAATATTCCTTAAGATGCCAAGCCATCTTATGAAGTGGACTTCATGCTCACAAGGCTTTGTAGCACTACACTGGGCTGAGCGATCTGGTTTGGTCTTTCTTTTTCAAGGGCTGGGCTGTTGACCATGAGACAGTTTTAACTTCCTGGATACCTGTAAGACCAACTAGTTGAGCTGTTAGTTTCTTCTCATGCAAGATGGCCCGGTACCAGCTTCAGGGGATTATTGAAAGGACGAAGTGGACTACTGTGGATGGTTCACTTCGAACAAAGCCCAGCATGTAGGAATCACTTGCTGGGATCATTATTTTTCTGCTCTCAGTTTTCCATGATTTCGTCTCAGAACTTCTGCGACAGTTGACATGGAGTCCCGTGGCCCTCCAGGCTGGCTAGCTGATGAGCTGTGCTGTGCTTTAACCTACAGTTTGTGATATTTGGCCATCAGGGCAATTTCAATTGAAAGAGCAAGGGGTCACTTGCTGAATGAATGAGTCCTGGATTTGTGCTGTTTGTACCCCAGAGGTTTGATAATCTGTGGTAAATTCATTTGGCAGATGTGCATCTATGGCAATTTTTCAGTGAGCACTGTCCTAAATTAATTAATCACTAGGCAATTCAATCTAAATTGAACGCTGCTGCTGCACACAGAAAATTTTTGTTTGCAGTCTTGAATTGTCCCTATTTAAATTAAGTCAATTAAAACTCTCTGTTCCTAACCACTTTTTTCAATAGAATGTACCTAAATGGTCACAATACTCTGCAGGGCATCCTTCTGGTATGAGTTTGTGTCTCTTTAATGTCTGTAGTTAATCATTTTCAGACACCATTTGAGCTGTTTTCTGCCATTGCCTTGAAAACCATTTGCTGCGCATTTGCTGGGTGCTGAGGGAAGCTGATGAGGTTGACATAAAATATGGGAGCGAAGATCATGGGGTCACTGTTGAGGTTTAACAAACAATGTTGCTCTGTGTTGTTGACCAACAGGTCACAGGGAAAGGAGCAGTGTCAGGGGGAAATGAGTCTCATGTCAGCTGTTTACAAGATAGGAGTTCCAGGAATGGGCTCTAACAAGCAGATGGTGCAACTCTGAAGTGGACAGGTTGTTAACCCAAGCGCTCCTTTGCCTTGTGGATCTCTGAGAAACAACCAACTTCATTAGCCCCATCCTCCCCAGAATGTCCCAAATGCACATGCGAACACCGAATGCCCCTCAGATACACTGAGAGTCAGTGGCAAGATTGGTGAAATAAGTCCAAATAGGATGCTGACCTTCCTCACAACTTGAAGTTACCCTCTGCCTTCGCACAGGGCCGGTGATTTGGTCAAGCACTTTGTGGTGTTTGGGGTTGAGGGAGCAGCCTTTTTGTCCTTCAGTGGTTCAAGTGAGGCTATCTGAAACGGAAGGTCATTGCAAGAGATAATGCAGCTTTGAGGTCTCAGAGGCAATGCTATGAGCTTCTCTGGAGGCCAAAGAGGCTGCAAAGTGCAGCCAGGTAGTAGCCCACCTCCCTGCTCCCTTCCAAGGTGTGGTCTGCCCTGGGTCTGCACTCTGTCTTTTCCCTCTCCTGGCTCCTTTCCCTCTTCTTAAACTCCCCTCAGGTGGCTCATGCTGAACTTTTTCTGTAATCACAGCGCAAGGACTTGCTCCTTTTCTCTCCAAGCCACCCTGGAGGAGCCAGTCATGGCAAGGCTGCTGCCTTTGCCTTGCCGCCAATGGAGCAGACGGCTCCGTGTTTTGCCAGGTAGAGCTGGAAGCCTAAGAAGTGTCAGGCAGAGTGGAAAGAGCGCTGGCCTGGGGAGTCAGCACCCAGCCTACATTCCCTAACCCGGAAGCCTCCAGGCCACTTGAGCTACCCAGCCCATCAGGTAGGTGGTTTCTGAGAGGTTAGGCTCTGAGTTCCCTGGAGAGTCTCTATGTTGTGTTTTCAGAACTTGCAAGGACAAGGGGTAGGTCTCTTGCTGATGCTTCACTAGGAAGATCAAAGAGTTTCAGATGTTCCACTAAGGTTAGTATCCCAAGTGACAGTCTCTTCCAGTTCATTTCTGGTCATTATAACCCAGGCTTAGGCCCAGCTTCTGAACCTCTCATCTTTACCACAGAACAGCCAGCCTGACTCATCCTCGGACTTTACAGATTTCTTGCCAACCGAAAGCCTGTTTAGCATTCCATCCATTATCTTGTTGAGCAGAGCCAGCTCCGCGCAGGAGCTGCTCCAGTTGCTGAGACTCTGAAGGATTGTGATTTGGAAAGTCTATTGAGTATGGAAATAAAACAACGTTCCAGTACTAGATGCACAAGCAATGCTTCGTTGTTGCTACTGTAAGCATCCATCCTTGGAGACTGTGGTTGGGATGTCACTTGGCATGTAGGAAGAAGGAACAGATCATGGTAAGAAACTATAGCCGTGCCATAAAACTGCTGTTTGATCAGTAAAGCTGAATAAACTGCGTCTAAAGATGGGCATTTTTTGTAAAGCATCTTTCACTGAAGTAGCTATATTCATTAAAAAAAAAAAAACCTTAAGGAGTGAAGCAGGCCATGTGTAATGGGGCAGGAATGTAAACCCCAAAGCACCAGATGGAAATGTGTTCTAAACAATAGAAAATCAATAAGAAATGATTTGACTTTTTACAGTGTCTGTGTGTGGGGAGGGAAACATTTGATCTTGGTTGTTGAGACTGTCATAGACAACACACACAAACACATACACACACACACAAATGCAGACATATACACATACACGTGCAAATACACACATACAATATGCATATACACATCTACACATGTACACATACACAAACATATACATAACACTCATGGACATATGTATATATACATATATACACATACACATATATATACATACACACCTCTACACACATCCACAATATACATACCTACATATACACATATACAACATACATATATGCACATACACACATGCATAAATACTTACGGACACATATAGTCACACAACTTTCCTTTTTAGATGTACAAATATATACAACACAATTTAATAATAATGGCATTCTACATAGTTACCCTTCCAAACTTTCTTTTATGCTTTCTGGGTACATTAAAAGAACAACCGTGGACCAAATTTAGACCTGATTCAAGGCAGGTGGGTGGGCTGGTCCCATTATCTCTGCTTCAGGAGCAAGAATCAGAGGTTGACAGAAGTTGATTTGTGAAGTCACCCACTTATGTGTGGTATTCTGACTTCAGATTCTGTTCTTTTATTTAGGAACAATGTCCCCCTGCTCAGATTTCCTCTGTTCATTTTATTTTCCTATTTCCTTTTCATTGAGGGCTAAGGAACAGCCTGCTCACAGTGTCAAAACCTTTCACAGTGTAAAAAGCTTTCTGGTAAGGTGCTACTTATTTCATAGAAGAGGGGAGCTCTTTGCCCATCCATTGTCACTGGAGTGCTTTGGAAGGAAGAACACTAGCCTGGTAACCAAAAGGGCTGCCGTCTCGTTTAGACTCCTTAACTACAGACCTTAAGATGTTGGATATCTCTTATATAATGTCATTTCGCCTATAGCCAGGATTCACGGACCAGGAATCTAGAGGTGGAGATGGGAATGGTGTCTCTCACTATCACCCTTAGGGACCCACTGGGAACATTTTTGCTTCCTGTTCCCATGAACTTTTACTCTTCAGGCATAGAAGTTTTGGGTCCAGAGGAGGGAATGCTTATACCAGGGGTACAACAGAGGTTCCACAGAACAGGAAGCTAAGACTTCCTTCCCCCTGGCCACTTTGGGTTCCTGATGCCTTTGAGTCAACTGGCTAAGAAAGGAGCAACTGTGTTAGAAGTGTGATTGATCTAGACGACCAGGGGAAGTGGGACTGCTCCTCTACAATGGAAGGAAGGCTATGTCTGGAGTGCAGGGAATCCATGTCCTGTGATGAAAGTCAGTGGTAAACTACAACAAGCCAATCCAGGCAGGATAGCAAATGGCTCAGACCCTTTAGGAATGAAAATGTGGGTCACCCTTTCAGGTAAAGAACCAAGGGCTGCTGAAGTGTTTGCTGAGGTGGAGGAAACACAGAATGGGCAGTGGAGGGAGGTAGTTATAAATACCAGCTAAGGCCATGGTGACCAGTTGCAGAAACAATGATTGTAACTGACATGAATGAATGTTTTGTCCTGTGTTAACAATATGCTTGTGTATATATTAAGTAGATATTTGTTTCTCCTTTATTTATGATGTAATGTAACATTCATTGAGATAAATTAGCAGTTAAGTGCCATAAATGTAAGTTATGAGACATTTAAAGACTTGGCATTATTCAAGTCTTGCTCTTTGGAGCCCAGAAGTGAACATTCTAAACTCCAGGTCATGGGAGCTGAAAGATTTGGTATTTTCTCTCTTGAATCTGACTTTGCTTTGGTATTATTATTATTTTTTGACTTTTAAAGTTGTATTATATATATAT